CAACTCCACCCTGCTAGTCATTAATCCAGAGGAAATACCCTCTGCTTAGAATAATTATTGCTTAAACACTAGCAAAATAGATCGCCTCCGTAAACAACATCAGGCAATTCAGGATCAAGAAGTCCTGAAGTAGCTGTGGTTTATCATCATGCCTTGTATCAGTTTAAATTCGCAGACTGTCACACCACTGGAAGTCTTTTAAGCCTTTCTCACTCTCCTTACAGGATGTATAAAGGATTTCCACCTCCTGTGATTTTTAAGCTGCATAATGCCATAAGATCCTGCATGGTAAAGAACCCCCTCCTCTTTAACATTTCAATATTAATGTGAGATCATATCACATGAAAATTTAATTTGGAAATTTGTCATTTAAACTTTCTGAGGAATCCATGGAAATTTGTGACTTATAGCCTATTTTTTCAATTCAGAACAGAGAAAATCCCACATATAGCACGCCAAGTCATGCATTATTACTTAGTTCAGATTTGCAGTACCACTAAATCACTTACTGCTCTGTAACTATGCTAGAACAAAGACAAGCAACAAGCAGATGATGTATTACACTGAAATAAATCACATACAACTAAGTTTAAATATTTTACCAAACAGGGTCAAATTATATATAAATGATTTGGAGACTTACAATGGCACAGGCTGTTCATTGCTGGAAACCTACATACATCTTGAAATTACAGATTACTTCCAGCTTGGTAGTAATGTCAAATTTAATCAGTAGTGGAATAGCAAGGGAGAAATGGGGGGAAAAAAAAAGTATGTTTAAGTGAAAGTTGCAAATTAAAAATCCTCAATTAAAAGTTCCAAAACCTCTTAAAGCAAATAGCGACTCACCTGTGCTTTTTCCAGTGTGGATCTCTTACAACACACAGAAATTAAATGTTTGCTTACTGAAATGTGGCAAGAACAGTTTTTCCAAACCCCGATTAGGATCCTTACCTGCTTGTGTGCATTGGAGTGTGCATGTGTGGGGGTGGGGGTGTACTCCTTGCATTCTTTTTGCAGCATGAGCCTATTAGTAGTATGACAATAAATCGCCTCTGGAAAAAGTCCAGCCTGGTGTCAACAGGGCCTCACTGTGGATCCTCACCAATGTCAATCACTTGTCCCGCTGAAATAAAAGTTACACCAATGTAAAACTGGCACCTGACCAGATTCAGTTCTCCGAACTCCAGCTATTATTCCGCATATATTTAAAGAGACTCCAAATATTTACAGGAGTGTAAGCAGTTGTGTATTAATCAGATGACTGAGAAAGGACCACATTATTGTTTAGTTTCAGATGTTGTATTGTAGGAGAAAATAAGCAATAACCATAGGAAAAAACTACAATGTATGTTGCCGTTGCCAGACATTTAAAGTGGCAACTCATGCATGCTGAATAAAACGTTGAGGATATGCTTTAATTTCACCATGCAGGATATCTGAGTTTTCTTAACCACTCATTATGTATTTTATGTAGGTTCGAGCTAGTGCGATCGCTCAGGATGCTGATCAGAACTACGACTATGCCAGTAACAGCGTGGTTCTTCATTTGGAGCCAGGAGACGAAGTTTACATTAAATTAGATGGAGGAAAAGCACACGGAGGAAACAACAACAAATACAGCACATTTTCTGGATTTATTATTTATGCTGACTGATAATGAGTAAAAAGACCCACCCAACCAGTCCAAAAATGAAGCTTGCTCTTCTAAGCAATGGATTTGCGTGGCAAAAGCAGAGAGCGACCACCGAACACCTCAGTAGTGGGGAAAAAAAGTCGAATGCTACCTGATTCACATCTGTACAATACAGAGAAACCTTATGTTAAAAAATTACAAAACAAGTTAAACAGATGTGCGATCCACTACCGCCAAAGCAAATACTTCCTCATTGTTAGTGTCCATGTGAATGAAGTCCTACATAGATCAAATTTTTATAGGAAAAAAAACACCTAAGGACACTGAGTTATTTCTTCAGTGTATATGATACTTTGATGTGTTATGATCTTGCTGCTTTATCCATACTTCAGCTTTGGTTCTTGTGACTTATCTGCTAACAATGATGCTTGGAGTCCACTCATAGTGTGGTGAGGAATGATTTTACAATAAAAGGAAGAGGTAATCAAAATATACGTTCTCTCTCCAAAGGAGTTGTTTGCCTTGTACTTTTCTTATCCTTCCACTTAAAACTAGAAACTAATCAGCTTCAAGCCTTAACTCAATGTTCCTGCTTTGTAGGTTTACATTAGACTTTTAACATAAAATCAATCCAGTGGAGTTGTTTAAATTTTGTCTTCCCTTTAGCTGCATTCTAAAAGAAGAAGAAGGATAGAAGAAACACTTTTTTTTTTTTTTTTTTGGTAAAAATGTAACAGCTAACAAACTATTCTGGTGGACCAAATCCCTGATTCCACCAAAGCCAATGGCAAAACTCCCATTGATATTGGTGGAAAAAGGATTTGGCTTGTAATTTGTAAACATGTAAATATAGATTTAGACAATTGCTACAGGCCCATTCTTGATGGTTAGTTGTGTAAATATTTAGCAAGCTGGCATCCACACCCTCAGACTAAGGTGGACTGTTTTCTTTGCAGCAATTAGTCTTCATTAGTCTTTCAGCACTTAGTCTGTACTTGGGTACTATTTTTAATAAAACAGTTATGACAACATACTGCAGAGATTCAAGTAGAATTTCATAGGAATATAATGGGTCAAAATCCTATTTGTCTTAGTTGTCGTGTCTTGTCTCACTGAAGTTAGTGGGATTATTCCCACAAAGGAAGGTGGGAGATCTGACACATGAGAAAATGTCACACAGACTTTTTTTTCCCATGGTAGCTAGTTACCAGTTCGTAGTAAGGTGTGCCTATGAAATGGACACAGATAAGCATATTACCAAAAATGATAACACATATGCAAAGAAAGAAGCAGATATTTACATGCAAAAAGAAGTGTGTATTAAAACCTATTTTTCTCATTCATATATATATAGAGATATATATAAAGTCTCAAAGAAGTTTAATCCCTATAAAGGATTAATGGCTTGGAGAATTAAACTAAACACAGGTACTATGAGTTACATAGTTATAAAAATGCTTTAAAATCAGTCATACCAGTAATGTCCATAGAATATTTTTATCCAGCAAACGGATTTATTATTTGTTTTGTTTTTGGGAGGGGAGGCTGTCTATTTCTCTCAGGTTAAAACTTGCAGATTTCACTCTAAACCTAAATTTTAGCAAGATAATTAACTAGCTCCTCAGCACAGTTGGTTGTGTTATTTAATGTTTTGGCAAAATCAAGGTAACATTTCTATAAATTGTTAAAGAGTAATAGAGGCTAACCCTAGCATTTCTGTTTCATGTACTTTGCCACAAGCAACCTTGTCTAATGTACTAAGGGTACAAACTCAGATTTTTCTGCACTAAAATGTCGAAAGTGTCCGCCACTGTGACAAAAAAGCTCTTCAGTGCTGGCTCCTCAGTAAAAGTCTGATGAAGATTTTACGAATCTCTAAAAACCTCTCGTTTGAATGAACGAAGCTTTTCTTCAACAGAACGTGTTACTCTCTCTGTTTCTGAGTCGTCCAATTCAGAATAAATGCCGATTTAGTGTAGGCTGACTGAGAGGATCACCAGTCTAACTCCTCTAGGATTCATAAAGGGACGTTGTGCTGCCAGTTGCTTGTGTATTATCTCACCAGAGTGGTTAACGCTTTTACTTTATGACAAAGTGCCAACCTATATCTGTACATTGCAGTGATTACTCCTGGTTTTTTTTTTCTACAAGGTAACGTATTTTAATAACAGATGTGTAACTGACTTCCTGTCTGTTCGTTCCACTGTTGCTTTTGTTGGTTAGCACACTCACAACAGCAGTGTGGCTAGAGATTTTCTACGCAGTATCAAACAGTAACGTACCAAGCTAGAGATCATTTACAACTAGCAATGCATATTTATTACGGTATTTATTGGAAAAGCTCAATACTACAAGATGTATATGGTCAAATTTGAAGAAGCTTTTGCAATCAGGCTACCACTGCTACTGGGTAAGACCATTTTTTGGATAAATCACCTGCCCTGGTTAAAGTTAGACAAGAGCAAAGAACACACTTTATGTAAGGCAAACATTTCTTCCTTTTTCATCATATCTTGATATACTGATTTGTAAAGACTTATATCACAACCTTTGTTATAACTATTACAACTCATTAAAACTGTATTATGTAATATATTTTGACTTTGGGTGTTGCATCCTTACAGAAAGAAGCTGGTCTGCATAAAGTTTCACATGATTGCTGTGAGATTCCAAAAGTTGAGGATAAAAAATTACTGCAATTAAAAAAAGACATCTGTAATAATACCGCACATAGTTTAAGAGGTCATCAAATTGCTTTATTTAAAAATACATTTTTCCATGTATTTTTTACACTTTCAGTTAAAAATAAGTAAATTGTTACACTAGAAAGAAACAGTATCTTTTTAGAATTACTTGAGATGCCTTTTGCCTTCTGTTGTCTGTGGAAGCTATTTAAAAGTCCCAGACCTTTTTATCAAGCATTATTTAAAGAATGTAAGGATAATTAGAAGATTGTCAATATTACAAGGTTCAAAATTACCCCCTGGAGAAGGGGAATTTAATTGAAAACAGTAAGTTCCTTCAAAGTCCAGATGATTCATCTTCAAAAATATTTTTGGATAACATTTAACAATAGTATTAGATTACTCTCTAGAAACAATTTTAAAATTTCAATTGAAAAGATTTTGCAGGTAGGTTTATATCCAGTAAATCACTAATGAGCAGACTTTTAGAAGGGAGAAAATGCAGAGAGAATACATAATTTTGTTGTTCTAATTAAAAAGAAAAGTCATAATCTGTTCGCATCTAATGAATAACTTCCAGTTTCTCTGAAAAGAACCCAGTTTTTAAACGACTGCTCTCCTGAAACAAATCTGAATTTTATCAAGCTTCTCTATAAAATAGGAATATTTATTCATTATTCCTACTTAAAAGTCAACCACCGCTTTGGATTTGCGAGTAGTATTTTATCAATCTTCTCTTGGGATATGCCTCTAATTAGCATTTTAGGAACTATATTTTTAAGGATATGTGAATATCCATGACCTCCATATTTCATCAGCCTATTCTTAGTGTGCACATCATGAGCGATCAGAATTCTGTCTTCATAGCCTTCATCGATCAGCATACGAATCCTGCAAAAGTAGAAAGCACACCTGTCAGTGAAAGGTCCTCACTCTGCAACAGCACAGAACCAAGCAGGATTTACGGTTTTTACATTGCTGTACTGCTGGACTGTATTATAACTGAAAATACTTATTTTTAGGTACTCAGAAGACAGATTCCTTATACTTAATTGAAATTAAAACATATTTTATTAAATGAAAAAAAAAAACAAAACCAGCTCTGAAAACATACCACCACACATCTCAAAGTGGAGAAGGAAAACTTTTTCCAGTTGACACATGATTTTGCATTCCCAGTCCCATTAAGTCCATGGAGGAACTCAAGAGCTTCAGCAGCAACAAGTGTGGGACACAGGTTTTATATACATCAGTAAGTAATAATTTCCTACATAAACTCCTTCTCAGCAGGCTAGTTCTTGCTGCTGTCCCAAAGCTAGTCCCATTACATTTGTTAATGATCAGACTCTGTGTGTGACAGGCCCTTTAAGAAGCCTGGCTCAATTACACAAATATTTCCACATCTTTAGTTGACTCCCATTTAGCAAACCAGGTTAATAAAAATTTGAAGTTGTCGGCATCATATTCCATATAGACAGTTATCATTCAAACATATTTCAACAATGTTCATTAAAGAAGAAGAAAATAAGACAGGCATTGCGCAGTGCTAGCATATGCCAGGAAATAAGAGGAGTTAATATGGCAGGCCAGCTAAACAGACTTGGCAAAACGACAAGTCAGCTTGGAAGAAGTAATCCTCCTGGTCACTCCTTTGCAGCAAGTCTGCTACAACAAGCCCTTCTGTCCCACATTTCACTCTGGTAACCTCAATCTCTTGCCTAGCTCATTTTTTAGAATTTATTCGGTAGGTGCCTAAACTCCTGTATTGCATGACTGTTACGTTTCCCACTAAGCTTCGGTTTAGTTTGGTAGTAGATTGCAGCATTAAAGTGGCAAAGACGGATAGAGTAGACCTGGAAAGTCCTCATTCCTCATGCAGGCACCCAATTCCATGATTTGCCAGCACTGTGAAATTCTAATTCTTACTTTCCTGACTGTGCTTTGATCAGCAAGAAAGCAAATACTAGTTTTTTAAGTAACCATACTGTATCTCAAAGCCCTTACTGTCAGTTTTTATTACAGTTAGTTATGAGGAGATTCATGTAGCAGGATCAAATCAACATGGCCAGCAGGAAGAAGGCAAGTAAGATAGAACTTGGTAAAATATCAGTATCTTTCAAAAAAACACCATAAATAATGCCATATAGTGCACAACACTACATATACTGTAGTATTACAACATCACAAGTATCTTCTCCAGCCTGAAATACAGAGACGACAAGCCAACCAGAGAGTAAACAATGACACTGGAGGAACTAAGTTCTTTGCTGACCGAACATCTTCTTAGAATCATCTCCTTTCATATTTGGACTAATTTCATGGGATGGGGAGGCATATGGTCCTTTATATTTCATATTCATTGCTGCTTTTTGCTCATTCCTGTAAGTTTAATTATTGCTTCAAAGAAAAACCATCCCTGAAAAAATGCAGTTTTTTCCTTGCACTGGTAGTAGATTGTAGTTGTCCTGGTTTGGCTAAAACAGGG